GCCTTCACAGGAGGGGGTTTGAGTGGTCTCTGATGAGCCGCCCTGCCTGTGATCTCTGAAGGTAATGTGGCCTCCTCCCTGAAATTAGCCTGAAAAGGGAGGCTCCTCCCATCCAGACCCCAGACCCAGATCCATGTGCCTGGGTAAAAACCCTGCTCGGCGCCTGTCAGTGTCCCGAGTTGCTCCTTGGTCGAAAGTAGGACAGAGCTGGAGTTCGCCTTCCAGAGTGGCTGCAGTAGGGGTCAGTTTTGGCGGGGAGTGGATGAGTGAATTAGAGAATTAGAAAGGACCCTGGCACACAGGAAGGACATTCCAGTGTTGCACGTTAGTCGATAGTTCGCACATGCAGCCTCCAGGGGCCTTCGCTTCCCACAGTGTCTGCGCGGAGCTCAGGAGAGAGGAGGTGGAGCACTAGAGCCAGAAGCATGTGGCTGTCTCCATTTTCCTTCCTGGCAGAGGGCTGTGATGGTGCCACAGTGTCCTCCTGGCCTAGCTCACCAACCTCCGTCTTGCTTGGCTGCTACTCACAGCTTCCTGCTGTTAGGCATGGCTGCCCAGGTGTGGCTGAGGGAGTGGGGACAGATGAAGTGGGGCACGCGCCTCCTGGCCCACCCATGCAGGTGGCCATGCCAGCCCAAAAGGGCTTCTGGAGCCCAGGGAGATGGACAAGGGCAGAGCCTTAGTGGGCCTGGACCCTAGAGGCTTGGTCACCCCCCTGCTTTGTCCCGGGAGCAAGGGGACACTTCCACTGTTTGTGCACATGGGGCTGTTTGCTACGAGGCCGACGGTCTGCCCTGACTAATAAACCACCCCCGCCCCGACACACACATGCAGTCTGACGTCCTTGTCCCTCTGGACATCCCCCCCAGTCTCTGACCAAGGCCCACCTTGTCCCCCTGGACACCCCCTCCACGGTTTCTGACTCTGGCCCACCTTGTACTCCTGGATGCTCCCTTCCTAGTCTCTGATGGGGTCCACCTTGTCCCTAGACACTTGTACTCCTGCACGACCTCCCCGACGGGCACCACCATATGCAGCCGGCGCTTCTGCGACTCCCTGCAGACCATGCAGATGGGGCTCTGGTCCTCCTGGCAGAAGAGCTTGAGGGGCTCCTGGTGCACCTGGCACAGGTCCTGCTTCTGGAGGCCCAGGTGCTGGCATGCCATCTCGGCCACCTTGGTGAGCATGTGGTTTGACCGCACATTCCGCTGCGGGGACATCTCCCTGCACTCCGGGAAGGTGAAGGAGCCCTTCTGCTTCCTCTGCCCCTTCTTGCCTTTTGCCTTCTCCCAGCTCAGGCAGTTGCAGTCATGGCAGAAGTTGTGGCCACAGGAGGCCATCTTGGGGTCCGTGAAGTAGTCCAGGCAGATGGAGCAAGTGGCCTCCTCTTGCAGCTTTCTGGCAAGTTCCACAGCGTCCATGGCTCCTGGGGAGACACAAGGCAAGAGTTTCCACTTTCAGCAACCCCCAGAGAGAGGCTGGGCTAAGTGGTTCCCTCATGTTCCCAGAGCTCTGGGCTCGCTCCCTGACAACAAGCAGGCTTCCTCTGTGGCCTCTTGCTGGAGGCAAGAACTAAAACTGAGGTCCAGTTAGGGGGTCCGTAGCTGTCATTTTTAGCCTTGCCAGTGACAGAGGCACAAGTGCCTCTCCGGAAACTACAAAGACCTCCTTGACCAAAGGCTAGCCAGGCCCCTCTGGCCCATGAATTCTGGACCCTGCCTTGTTCTGTCCTCGGCCTGCCCAGCCCAGTCTTCACAGAGAATCCTAAGCCACCCCCACCTGGATATCTGATCAAGTCCTCACCCCCTACCTTTGTCATCTAAGTCCCTGACCTGCCTGTTAGGCCAGTTTCACCAAAAGCCTCCTACCCTTGAAGTCTGTCTCAGTTATTTCCATCCACGGACCCCAACTGTCTCTGCTGGGTTCAGAGCCCCAACTCTTCCCCAGGGTGACATCCCCATTGCAAAAAGCGTCAATAGTCAGCCTTTTAACAAGCGTCAGAATAATTTTTTCTTTAACAAAACCCCTTTAAAACCAAGGAAAAGCAAGGGCCGGCCCTGTAGCGCACTGGAGAGTGCGCCGCTTGGGAGCGCGGTGGCACTCCCGCCGAGGGTTCGGATCCCATGTGGAGATCGGTTCCCGCTCACTAGCTGAGCGCGGTGCGGGTGCAACGCCAAGGGTTGCGATCCCGTTGCCGGTCCCTGGTATGGGCACGACACCGAGGGTTGTGATCCCGTTACCGGTCAGTAAAAAAGACACAAAAAGGAAAAAAAAAAAAAAAAGAATTTGACAGTAATGGGCCGGCCTGGTGGCGCACTGCTATAGTGCGCCGCTTTGGAGTGCGGCAGCGCTCCCGCCGAGGGTTCGGATCCCACATACAGACCGGTTCCCGCTCACTGGCTGAGCGAGGTGCAGGCGCAACACCGAGGGTT